GGAATGCAGTGTTACAGTCTCGGCTCACTGCAACCTCTGCCTCCCAGATTCAAGTGCTTCTCCCGTCTCAGCCTCCCGAGTAGCTGGGATTACAGGTGCCCACCACTATGCCTGGCTAATTTTTGTATTTTTGGTAGAGACAGCTACTACTTGGCCAGGCTAGTCTCGAACTCCTGGCATCAGATGATCCACCTGCCTCGGCCTCCCAAAGTGCTGGGATTACAGGCATGAGCCACCACACCTGGCTGGCAATGTAATTTTTATATTTAAAAAATGGACTTTTGGCTGGGTGTGATGACTCATGCCTGTAATCCCAGCACTTTGGGAGGCTGAGGCAGGAGGATTGTTTGAGCTTAGGAGTTCAAGATCACCTTGGACAACACAGTGAGACCTTGTCTCTACAAAAAAAAAAAAAAAAAAAAATTAGCTGGGTGTGATGGTGCACCCTTGTAGTCCCAGCTACTCTCAGGAGGCTGAGGTGAGAGGATTGCTTGAGCCCAGGAGGTCGAGGCTGCAGTGAGCTATGATCGCACCACTGCACTCTAGCCTAGGTGATAGAGCGAGACATTGTCTCAACAAAAAAAGGGGAGGGAGCTTTAGATAGTGTGTTTGTAAATAAACCTTTAACTGTTCGAAGAAAAAGATCTGTTTTACGTGTCAAGATGTGAATAGTGGTTACTTTCCACAGGAAACGGGTAGAGACATGAGGAGGGGGAGTCTCTATTTCTTCAATTATAATGTTCAGTACTACGTGAATTTTAAAAGGAGAGCATGGACTTCCTTTGTGATTTGTTGTTGTTGTTGTTTGCCTCTCTTTCTTCAGAATTGTTAGCCAAATGAAAATAGCTGATGTCAAGAGTTGTTACACGGTGATCTGGTCCAGGAACTTTACCTTCAAACATAAAGACATTAATATTCTAAGTTTCCCTCTGTCATTTCTGAGAAAAAGCGCATTGGTGATACCAGAATGGTCGAGCAGTCCTGTATCCAGACCAGGCGTTCTCACACTTGAGCAAATACCGGAATTGCCTGGAGAGCTTGCTGAAACACAGATCCCGCAGACCCTCACCCTTGAGTTGCAGTTTCAGCACATCTGGGGTCAGGTCACAAAATCTGCATTTATTCCAAGTTCCCAGGGGGTGTGGCTGCTGCCGATGGGTGGTCCTCACTCTGAGACCTGCTCTCGACCCTCCTTTCTCAACCTGTAGTCCCAGAACCAGCAGCATCAGCATGGCCTAGGAGCTTGTTAGAAATGCAGCATCTTGGACTTTACCCCTGAAACGGAACCTGCACCAACAAGCTCCCCGGTGGCTCCCATGCACGCGACAGTCGGAGAACACTGCCCTAGATGTCCAGAGCCTTTAGTCCAACACTTTGAGATGCTTCCCCCAAGCACTAAGCCTTCCACGAGCTCCTGCTCAAGTCCTGGGCCTGTGGTGCTGAGACAGGAGAGTGGTGTCTTGGTGCTCAGGCCTTGGGTGTTAGGAGGTAGGAGGAAGGAGATCCTGATGATGAGAGAGAGACCTCCACGGCCACAGACTGCGGGTGACATGTAGCAGAAACACTTTCTCTTCTTAGGTGCATTCCCACAGCGTGTGAGGGCTCAACAGCACTGCTGAGCCACATCCTCCTGAGCACACAGAGAGGCAGAGGGCTGGACCCTATTCTGGATGCAGACCCCACAGCACCAGGCTGGAGAGTCCCCCTGGCTTAAGTTCTCCCCCTCTGTCAGGTCCTCTCAGAAATGTGCAGTCTGCAAAGCTATTTCTCAAGCAAAATAAAAGCCAGCCAAAGGACGAGGTGAGTGATCACGAGGTCAGGAGATCGAGACCATCCCGGCTAACACGGTGAAACCCCATCTCTACTAAAAAAATACAAAAAAAAACTAGCCAGGCATGGTGGCAGGTGCCTGTAGTCCCAGCTACTCAGGAGGTTGAGGCAGGAGAATGGTGTGAACCCAAGAGGCGGAGCTTGCAATGAGCCGAGATCCTGCCACTGTACTCCAGCCTGGGCGACAGAGAGAGACTCCATCTCAAAAAAAAAAAAAAAAAAGGGTCCTCTGGACATTTTAGAGACAAAACAAGCATGATTTCCACCAATTAATTTTATCTCAGTGCCCACATGATGAGATCCATTCTGCAGGCCACATGGCAAACCTAGTTACATTGCCTGGTGGTGGCCAAGGGGGCTATGTCTGGATCGTCAACGCCATTTGATTGCGCCAACCAGCCTCCTCCAATACACACTTGGCTTCCATGATCCAGTGAGACTCAAGAAGAACAACTATTTTCCTCCCACTCACTGCCTAGACTTGTCTCTAAGCCCTTTTACTGCTACAGAGATGACCTAGCACATAGGATCTCGTAAAACTCTGCAGGGTACAACATCAAAATGTTAGCTTTTCCTCTAAAAGACAAAGCAAGAGTGGAAAATGGAAATTACAAACAATAAGGCTCTCCACTAAATAGGTAGGCTGTTTTTCTCTATTAAGCAGTGAAGATGTGCTTCTTCATAACTCCTTTGAATGGATCAATGCCGTCCCGCAGAGTAATGGAGTGATGTTGACTGGTCTCCAAAACAGTGTTCAGAATTGGATGGCTTGCTGAATGTTTGAACAAAAATCAACTTTAAAATAGAGCAAAATGCAATAAAATAATTCCCAAGTGAGTAAGCAGGTGTAAATCTTCCATAAATTTCCCTGATGGCAGAAAAAATAAATAAATAAATAAAAACAACTTTTACCCACACTCCCACCTGTGGAGTATTTACCTGGTATTTACATGCCAGGAGCCATGCTAAACAATGTACAGGATCCCCTAAGCTATTTTCTCAAAAACACTCTGTGGTGGGTACTGTTCCTGTTCTCTTTTTTTATGCAGATGGGAAAACTGAAGCTCAGACATGTTAATTAACTTGCACAAGGCCATACAGCTAGAAACATGGGCAGGCTGGTTTAAGCCTGTAGGCTTAATCATTAGTCTATATTGCCTTCCAATCTTGCGGCCTAATGGGATATCTCCCTTAAGGAAGAAACAGAAAACCCAGTGAGGGGAGGAAGATCCAACTGCCTCTGAAAATATTGGTGGGGGGCACGTTGCTTTTGTGCAAAAGTAACAATTGCCACATAGACCCGTGGGTGTGACGTGTTTCAGGATATGTGAAGGAGGCCCAGATGGCTCATGTATTGCTTTGTTAAATGGGGAAGCAGTCACTCCCATCATTGGAAGGAAAAACAAAGGTATGCCTCAGCTCCAGACCAGCTCATCACGGCTGCCAGCTGCAGACACTTCATTTGGTCATGACCCCAGTGTTAGTGCTGACTGCTATGACGTGTCAAAGGGCCCCAGGTCATCAGCCCAGAATGCCAGCACAAGGAGACTTTCTGCTTCTCCATCCTGCTGTCTATGAGACTCATTCTTCATTGCCAGAATGACAGATTGCCTTGTGTCACACTGGGGGAAAACACGCACACACACACACACACACACACACACACACACAAGCGCACAAACAGGTGATGCTTCAAAGAAGCTCAGCTTCACATGAATAGCATGAGGTGATATAAATTAAAGAACTCGGGTTACATATGTAATTTCAAATGGGAAAAGGGAGTTGGTTTTTATTATTAAACCAAAAGATGATTTAAAATATGTAAGAGAGTTGGCAACTTCACCATAGAATCATTTTTTGTATATGCTAACCCTCAGAACTGTAAGTTAGAGATCATTCACTGGAAAAAAAATCAATGCCATTCATGTATAAAATGCAGAAAACACCCAAGCCCATAGAAGTTCAAGAGAAATAGAAGGACAGTGGAAGGGCAAGTGAAAATACGGTTGCAAAGAAAAGTCAGCTCAGTGTTAACAACTGGCCTCAAAGCAGATAGAATATAGCATAATAACTGCAAATCGACTTAAATATCATAAGACAAAAAACAGCTAAGGAAACTGGAACTATGAACTGATTTATGAATGGTCATAATAATAAAAATAATAATTTATTGAAGATCTACTATGTGCCAGACAAGATAGATATTATTTCCATTTTACAGGTGGGGAAACAAATGTAAAGAGATTGAATAACTTACATCACGTGCCACAGATGATAAATGGTAGAGCCTGAATTCAAACCAGGGGACAGTTGAATCCAAAACCCATAATTGTTTTAGACTATGTGGGAAATGGCTACATTTTTTAAGACTACAAATTGGGAAATGGCACCCAATTTGAGGGACGTCCAGAAGGACCTGGAGCAAACACTCTCAGTGACCTGTCTAACATCTGTTCTCCCTTTCCTCCTTCCTGTCCACCTCAATTCTGTTAGATATTTAGTCATCTAATTTTCATTCCCAAAGGGAATCCTGATTGACCTAAGATGATTTTTAATTAGTATTCTCTACTTATTGGTCTAAGGGTGAGTCCATGACCTTAGATGACCCAGTTATACTGAAGGGAGGAGCATACATTCTATGACTGGGAGAAACACTTCACCCTTCCCTGGATAGGACAAGGAGGCCTGTTGCCCTTTGACCACTGGCAGCCACAGTGTGATGGTGAAAAGAACCTCCTAAACACAAAGGCAACCGCACAAGGATGGCATTGTGATAGAAAAAAAACAAAACAAACATGTTTGTGGAAAAAACTGTTGAGCTGCTGACTTAACCAATTTTGGAAGCTGTCATACTTCTGAATTTCTTATGTAAAATAAAGAATGTCATTATATTTAACTAATTTGAGGCAGAGTTCCTGTCACTGGCATATGAAAGCATCCTAATTAATACTGGCTTCATGCCCATATTATCTTCTTGAATTGCCCATCAATTCCCACGTTGTGCAAGTAGAGATTTATTCCTTTGAATATTTGTGTTTCCTAATAGTTGATGATGGGTAAATAACTATATAACTTTGGAGAGGGAACTATTTTTCTTACCATTGCACCAAAAAAAAAAAGAGTTGTAAAGAAAAATGTTAACACATTTGACCACATACAAAGCTGAAATGATCCTTTTGTGATTGGTAAGCATGATAACTGGGTTTTCACACTCATGTGAAATGTGCCTCCTTCAAGGCTTGTTACCATGTAGGCATATTACCCAACTGATGTGAAAAAAAAAAAAAAAACTGAGTCCGCGTACCTTCTAGTCCCGCCATGGCCGCTCTCACCCGGGACCCCCAGTTCCAGAAGCTGCAGCAATGGTATCGCGAGCACGGCTCCGAGCTGAACCTGAGCCGCCTCTTCGATGCCGACAAGGATCGCTTCAACCACTTCAGCCTGACCCTCAACATCAACCATGGGCATATCCTGCTGGATTACTCCAAGAACCTGGTGACGGAGGATGTGATGCGGTTGCTGGTGGACCTGCCAAGTCCAGGGGCGTGGAGGCCGCCCGGGAGCGGATGTTCAATGGTGAGAAGATCAACTACACCGAGGGTCGAGCTGTGCTGCACGTGGCTCTTCGGAACCGGTCAAACACACCCATCCTGGTAGATGGCAAGGATGTGATGCCAGAGGTCAACAAGGTTCTGGACAAGATGAAGTCTTTCTGCCAGCGTGTCCGGAGCGTGACTGGAAGGGGTACACAGGCAAGACCTTCACGGACGTCATCAACATTGGCATTGGCGGCTCCGACCTGGGACCCCTCATGGTGACTGAAGCCCTTAAGCCATACTCTTCGGAAGGTCCCCGCGTCTGGTATGTCTCCAACATTGATGGAACTCACATTGCCAAAACCCTGACCCAGCTGAATCCCGAGTCCTCCCTGTTCATCATCGCCTCCAAGACCCTTACCACCCAGGAGACCATCACGAATGCGGAGACGGCGAAGGAGTGGTTTCTCCAGGCGGCCAAGGATCCTTCTGCAGTGGCGAAGCACTTTGTTGCCCTGTCTACTAACACGACCAAAGTGAAGGAGTTTGGAATTGACCCTCAAAACATGTTCGAGTTCTGGGATTGGGTGGGAGGACGCTACTCGCTGTGGTCGGCCATCGGACTCTCCATTGCCCTGCACGTGGGTTTTGACAACTTCCAGCAGCTGCTCTCGGGGGGTCACTGGATGGACCAGCACTTCCGCACGACGCCCCTGGAGAAGAATGCCCCTGTCCTGCTGGCCCTGCTGGGTATCTGGTACATCAACTGCTTTGGGTGTGAAACGCATGCCATGCTGCCCTATGACCAGTACCTGCACCGCTTTGCTGCGTACTTCCAGCAGGGCGACATGGAGTCCAATGGGAAATACATCACCAAATCTGGCACCCGTGTGGACCACCAGACAGGCCCCATTGTGTGGGGGGAGCCTGGGACCAATGGCCAGCATGCTTTTTACCAGCTCATCCACCAAGGCACCAAGATGATACCCTGTGACTTCCTCATCCCGGTCCAGACCTAGCACCCCATACGGAAGGGTTTGCATCACAAGATCCTCCTGGCCAACTTCCTGGCCCAGACGGAAGCCCTGATGAGGGGGAAATCAACGGAGGAGGCCCGAAAGGAGCTCCAGGCTGCAGGCAAGAGTCCAGAGGACCTTGAGAGGCTGCTGCCACATAAGGTCTTTGAAGGCAATCACCCAACCAACTCTATTGTGTTCACCAAGCTCACACCATTTATGCTTGGAGCCTTGGTCGCCATGTATGAGCACAAGATCTTTGTTCAGGGCATCATCTGGGACATCAACAGCTTTGACCAGTGGGGAGTGGAGCTGGAAAAGCAGCTGGCTAAGAAAATTGAGCCTGAGCTTGATGGCAGTGCTCAAGTGACCTCTCACGATGCTTCCACCAACGGGCTTATCAACTTCATCAAGCAGCAGCGCGAGGCCAGAGTCCAATAAACTCATGCTCAGCCGCAGCCTCCTCTGTGATTCCTCTTTCTCTTCTTGTCCCTGCTCCCCAGAGCCGGCACTGCATGGTCCTGGACACCACCCAGAGCGCCCTCTGGTTGTGGGCTTGGACCACTAGCCCTTAGCGGGGAGGGATGATCTCAAATTGCTACCCCCAGCCCCTCCATGTCTTCGTTCCCTCTGCGTTACAATTGGCTGAAGTGTTTTTGTGCAGCTGACTTTTCTGACCCATGTTCACGTTGTTCACATCCCATGTAGAAAAATAAAGATGCCACAGAGGAAAAAAAAAAAAACTTAAAATTTTTGCATATAAAAATTTGATAAAATGTAAAAGGAAATAAAAAACTACAGAACATTTTTTCCATATACAATACAAAAAGTTAATATTCTTTTTACCTAAAAAGCTCTACAAATAGGTGAATTCTCCAAAAGGAAAATGTATAAAGGATGTGAACAAGCAAAGGACACTAAACAGATTTTTAAATGTTCTATCTTACTAGTAACCAAAGGAATACAGCTTAAAATATGATACCACGTTCATTTACCAAATTTGCATGTTTCTTCTTTAATAAGAATGTGCTGGCTACTGGCTGGGTGCCTCAGCACTCTTCAGGCTCCATCAGGCTAGCCTCAGCCTGTTACGTTGGCAGCAGAAGGAAGTACACAAGGCCTCTTCAGTCGCGACCTTAGAACTGGCACACTGTCACTTCCAATGCATCTTATCAGCCAAAACAAGTCAAAGATCAGCAAAGATTGGAGGGAACTAACACTGCCTCTTTATGGGAAGATTTTCAAATTATATTTCAAAGGTTGTGGTTACAGGGAAAGGTGGAGAATTAGGGACAATTTTCAATCAATTGCAAGTATGTACTAATTATTTCAATAACATTTTTATCAGAGATTTATGTATATCTGGCTATATGTCATCTAGATATAGCTATATACACATATATATGTGATGTACACAGATATACAGACAGATAGGCCATCTGTTGAAATCTATTCCAAATTAAATGAGCACTACCCAAAAGAGAATAAACAAAAGGCAAATAAGTCTGTGAAAAGATGCTCAATAGCACTAGTTGCCATGAAAATGTGAATTACAACCAAATGAGACACTACTACCTTCCCACCGGAATGGCTAAAACTAAAAAAAAAAAAAAAGACAATGCCACATATTGGCAATGAGGTATGTAGTTACTAAGACTCATACACTGCTAGTCGGAACGTAACTTGGTAGAACCACTCTGGAACTTGTCCATCTCTACCCAATTGAATATATGTTCACTCTTTGACCTAGCAATCCTACTCCTACATGTATCAGAGGACACGTTTAAGAATATTCACAGGAGTATTCATTATAGCCCAAATCCTTATTCTATTCTATTTTATTTTATTTTATTTTATTTTATTTTATTTTATTTTTTGAGACAGAGTCTCGCTCTGTCACCCAGGCTGGAGTGCAGTGGCGTGATCTCGGCTCACTGCAACCTTCGCCTCCCAGGTTCAAGCGATTCTCCTGCCTCAGCAGGGATTACAGGCATCTGCCTCCACGTTCAACTGATTTTTGTATTTTTAGTAGAGGCGGGGTTTTGCCACATTGGCCTGTCTGGTCTTGAACTTCTGGCCTCAAGTGAACTGCTGCCCGCCTCATCCTCCCAAATTGCTGGGATTACAGGTGTGAGCCACTGTGGCCCAAATCAATTTAAATGTTCATCAACAATAGAATGGATAAATATAGATGTTCCTCGACTTTCAATGTTACGTCCCAATTAAACCATCATAAGTTGAAAATATTGTGGTAAAAAATGCATTTAATACACCTAACCTTACTGAACACTGTACCTTAGCCTAGCCCCTACCTAACACAAAATGTATTTTATAATAATGTTGAATAACTTATGTAATTTATTGAATACTGTACTGAAAGCAAAAAACAGAATAGTTGTATGGGTACTCAAAGTATGGTTTCTACTGAACGCACATTGCTTTCATGCTGTCATAAAGTGGAAAAACGATAAGCCAAACCATCTGAGGTCGGGGACTGTCTGTAAATTATGAAGTTTTCCCACAAAATGGAATATTATACAGCAATAAAAAGAGCAAATACAGCTGCTAGCAACAACCTTGATAACTCTAACAGACGTAAGTTTGAGTGAAAAAAACAAACAAACAAACAAACAAAATGATCCAAAAAAGCACAGTTGAGCTTGATCAACACGGGCTTGAACTGCACAGGTCCCTTAGACTCAGACTCTCTTTAGCCTCTGCCACCCATCAGACAGCAAGGCCAACCCCTCCTCTTCCTCCTCCTTCTCAATCTGCTCAATGTGAAGATAAGGATGAAGACTTTTATGATGATACTCTTCCTCCTAATGAATAGTAACTATATTTTCTCTTCTTTACGATTTCTTAATCACAATTTCTTTTCTCTAGATTTTTTTGGTAAGAATACAGTATATAATATATATACAAAAATATGTTTATTGGTTGTTTGTGTTATCAGTAAGACTTCGGGCCAATAGTAGGCTATTGGTAAAGTTTTTGCAAAGTCAAAAGTTATAAATGGATTTTTGACTGTGTGGAGGGTCACTGTCCCTAACCTCTGAGCTATTCAAGGGTCAACTGTATATATTTATGATTCCAATGCTATAAAGTTCACACACTGGTAAAACTCATCTGTGGTTACAGGAATCAAAATAGTAGTCGCCTTTGGCAACAGGCCAGGCGATCCAGACGTGGCACAAGGAAGGCATCTAGGGTACTGCTAACATACTGGTCTTGATCTGGATTGTGGTTTTACTTGGCAAAAATTCAAGCTGTACACTTAAAATCTGAGCTCTGAGCTGTGTATATGTTATACTTAGTCATATCTACAATAGTAATGTTTGTAATATAATAGTAAGAATTAGATTTGTTTTAAAGTGTCTCCTATTAAAATGCAAACACCTCTCAGGGAGAGTCCTCATTTTAACCCATCACAGAGCTCTCCTGAGTGGGGACCGGTTGAGCATGAGCTGGGCGCCAGATAAGAGCCTGCAGGGCTGGCCAGGACTCAGAGACCATCCTCTATAGGGGTGAGAGGGGACAGACTCTAAAGACACTCGTGGGAAGACAATGAGCACTGCCAGTTGGCAGTGACAGCAGAGGGCCCAGAGAATATGTATGCAAAGGGCAGGTCCTCGCTGATGGCAAAACCAGGCTCAGTGTTCTTGGATCTAGACAGCTCTGTTTGTTACCCAGCTCCTTCCCGCTCTGCTCCTGTCCTCT